AATCGTATTTGGTGTTTTCTCCAGCAGCGCCTTCGCAAGTGTGTCTTGGAACTCTGAAGTGGCGACTATTTTAGAAACCCTTCGTTGGAGAATTTGACATTTTACTTGGAAGTTATTGCTGTGACGAATCTGAGCTATGGAATTAAACTACGCATTCATAATTAATAAAATGTAGTACATATGATGTGGGTAGGGTTTCCATGGCCCGTACTGTCCTTTTTCTTAATATTGCAATTTCTTGCACCACGTGCTCTGTGTTGCCTTATCAGCGTTTGCCCAGGATAGCAACGTGGAAGAATTTGCTAAATTTGTAAAAAACCGTGATTTCTAAACTCACTCTTTTTTCCATGGTGGGAATGTTCACCAGCATATTCAGACCAACTATCCCTTAAACTCATTCGAATGCCCGATTTTTTGTGGCGACGTAGCGGTCGCAGTGTTAAACGATGAGTTTTAGGCGTAGACATTGGTTGAGCAACGGGAACAGGTGATGCTGCTGTTACTGCAACAGCAGCAGGAGAATCATCAATTTCGATAATCGTTCTATTTGTGGTATCTTCGTTTCCCATGCCGATACTATCTTCGCTACTTTTACAGTTACTAGTATTTTCGGAATCTTCCACAAAAATATGAGATGCATCATGCGCGAAAACTGTGTAGCGAAATTTTGCATGAATTTGATTTTTCGGTTTCTTCTTTTCACAGGTGCTGCTTTTGATCGCATCGTCTATTTTTATAATCGATGGTTCCAGTGAATGCCTTCTGTTGCTTGCTTCCATTCTGGGTAAATGCTGTTCACTTCCGGCTAAAGCACCCATATTTTCAGATGGAGTCAGCAAATTTTTCCTCGACGAATCGCGAATACTGATCGATTTCGAACGAAACAAATTAAATCGTTCACGAAACGACGATCTTCGTCCTTTCAAATTCATCACATCCGGAAGTCGCCGAGAATCTTTATCGGATTCACTTTTCGATGGCATCACTGCTCCCGAATTCCCAGCCTCTTTTTGCTCGTCTCTGCTGCTGTGGTAAGCCGAAGGATGGCGTAGATCGCAAGCCGAATGGTGTCGTGTGATTGTCGAACAATCATCTTCTGTCACTGCCAAAAAATGCGGACGCTGTGCAGAAGCCATGGGTGGGCGCTTCGCAACAACACGGTGCACACAGTATGCAGCAAAGCGAAGCAATAGCTAATCCTATTTTCTCCGTTCTGTATGCTAATTTGGCTGCTTATAGAAAAAAAAGTACAACATGCTGCCAGCAAATAGCCGAATACTTTCGAGTTTCTCAGCGACTCCAAGGCTGCACAACAGGCACAATAAATATAAGAGACTTCAAAAGTTGAACAGAAATTAATGAAGTTGCGCCGGAGATTCCACTATTGCTGGAGATCCACGCTGAAGATTCAAAAAATTCCAATATTTGGAGCCTCGAAGTATCCAAAAACTTGTATCACCTTATAACTCCTGTATTACCAAGAATTTACAGTCGCTGCAGAGAAAGAGAATGCGCGAGATCCAAAAAATTCCACTGTTTGGAGCTTCGAAGTATCCAAAAACTTGTATCACTTGTTATTATCTTATAACTCGTGTATTACCAGGAATTTACACAGTTACAGAGTTAATAAAAAATTGCTGATGATCAAAATATGCAGGCCTTTTGGATCTCTTTGAATAAGTCCGATAACAACTGGGTTCACTCGCAGTGAATTTACAGCGTTCAGACAAAAATTTTTGCTTTAAAAAGAGGCATACAACGAAGGGCTGAAGG